CAGTTCAGAAAACACTGTATTAGGTAAGCAGCAGTAGCTGCTACAAATTTTAGCAAGCACTAATAGCTAACATTTCTTGAATCTCAACCAAGTGTCAGGCACTATTCTAAGCATATTGCATGTATCATTTAATCCTCCCAAAGATACTATTACCATCATTCCCATTTTATAATGAAATTTAGGCAACAAATAGGTTAATTAACTCACTGAAGGTCATATTATCTGTTGTTGATAAAACCAAGAGTTGAATCAGGGCAATCTGATTCCAGAGCCCCTGCTTTTAATTTCTAGATATCCTGAATACCTGGAACACATTTCCATCCTTGGTCCTAATTTCAAAGTGTGTTATTTGCCCAGATTTCTGTTATGACCAAGAGGGAAGACAACTGTCCCTTCTATATAAAGCTTTGCAGGGTTTCACTATCAATATAAATGTGGTCTCTAAACTTCAGATTAAGAGAACTAGTTTTCCTGTGTATTAATTAATCCTACATTCCCTTAAGGTACAAATATCCTTCCTAATAATAAGTATGCTTATAAAGTCCATTTTTTTGATAACTGAGAAATAAAACATGAATAGCTGTACTAAGATATTTTAAAATTATAATCTAATAACTTAATACTTACTCAAAGTAATTGAAGGTATATTCACATTCTCATAGAAAAATTCAGGATTATACATTTCATCCTAAGTAGTTAAAAAAAAAACAACTTATTTTAAGATTTGACATAAACAACAGATTAGTATTGTTTAAATATTTCTTGCAATAATTTGTGAAATTAGGCAAGTTTCTACCCTACAAATGATGGCTATTATTTTATGTCAAAAACCTCACATTACACCTTCCAAATATTGTGAATTTATGAATGCATAAGTTACATGATATATACATAATATAGTAAGTATACAGTACCTCTTCTTCTTTTGTATAGTCCAGTTTCCTCAATCTACACGATACCATGTGCTTTGCTAAAGATGATTTAGGCATATGATGATTGGAATCATAAGGACAGATCACAACTTCATCCTATAAAAATCAAACAGACAACAAAGAAAAAGATGCATAATATTTAAAGAAATAATTACCCCATTAAGGCATTTACTACCCGATTAAGTGGTGCTACCCAGTCACCTCTTCTTCGGCATGCCTCTCCAGGCCGTGTGTGTGCGTGCGTGCGTGCGTGTGTATTTTAAAAGACAAAACTCCCTCAACCCTCCATCCCCTTAAAACCTATGCCCTCTCTCCATCCCTTCAAAGCCTAATTCTTTGAAAGTTTTGTTCACAGTCAACAACCTCACCTACCAGCCAATCCTCACCCACTGCCACCACCATGCCACTGAAAACACTGTCAATAGGTCACGAACAACCTTCTCACCATACAGAGCCAAGGGACATGTCACAGTCCTCATGTGAACTCTTGGAAAGTCATAGCCCAATTGTCCATTTCGGTCATGCTGATACACTCTTCATATTCTTTACAGTTCTCTGGCTCCTTCCGCTTGGTCTGCTTTAAAGATCTGTCTTCCTTGCTCTATCTGGCCCCTTTTAAATGTTGGTGTTTAAACACTTAGGTCTAGCCACACTACATAGTGATGACTCTCAAAATCTAAATCTTTAGTTAGATCTTGTTTCTCTACTGCACACCTTATATTAAAGATACTAAAAATTCAACATGACTTAGAAATAAATTCATTATGTTCATAGTCTCCTGGCCCCAAAACTTCTGCTTTATAATTTCAATGAAAGGTACCATTTGCCCAAGCAAGAAACCCCTCCTCTTCCTCATTACCCACATCAATCAATCACCTAGTCCTGTTAATTTTACTCCCAAATCTCTCTGAAATCCCTCCCCATACTCCATCCCACTGCCACTTCTCCAATCTAGTCATCTTCTAACTGTTCTACTTCCAGTCTTACTGCCCTCTCTTATATTCTCCACACTGTAGCTACTTTGAATCCCAGTTCTGCCACTTACTGGCAACTCACTTAACCTCTCTTTGCCTCCACTTCCTAATCTATAAACTGGGATAAGAGCAGAGGTACTAAGGTATTGTGGTACAGAGATATTGGGAAGATTAAATAAACTATACATGAATTTATATACATAAAGCAATTAGAACAGAGCTTGGTACACACTAAACAGTCAACAAATGTTAAGCAATTACTATTTTATTAAAAGGTAAATATGATTATGATATACCCTGGCTTAAAAGGCTCCAATGCCTCCCCTATTGGGCTGACAAGGATCTTTAGGATCTGGCCCCTACCCATCATTCCCCTCCATCTCTGCACCCTCTGCTCTAGCTATCCTTAATGACATTCGAGGATAGCTGATCTGGTCACACCCTTGTCTCTGGGCTTCTACACACACTGCTGATGCTTCCTCCATGCTTCACCTAGTTAATTCTGCTTGTATTTTTAGGTAGGAGCTTAGAATTTACTTTGTCCAGGAAGCCTCTGCTGTCCCACACCAGACTTCAATAATCTGTACTACAGTTAATTCCAACTTCACCCATCATAGACTTTATCACATATAATGTAATACATTATGTATTTCTCAGTACTCCTCCTCACCACCACCAGACAGTAATCTATATAAACAGAAACTGTGACTACTGTTCACTAAACTTCAACATTAAAACACCTTAGTGGAAAAGTGAAGACTTATTAACTACCTAGATGGCACCTATTCTAGGAATTATGGACGTCACTTACCAGGATTTTTAAAACAGTAACTGTTGAATATCAGCTACTGGTTTTGCAAAAATTAGAGGTAAACTCACAAATGATTTTCAAAATTTTGGAATTTTACAAAGCAGTTTTAGAGAGACAGCATAGCAATTAAGCACACAGACTCAGGAGTCTGAATGTCTGGATTTAAATACTAACCGTCATTTACTAGCTACGTGTTCTTGGACAAATTACAACCTGTGTTTAGGTCATTATCTGCAAAATGTGGGTGACAGTACCTACCCTTTAGGGTTATTATGAGTATTAATTAAATGAGCTAATGTATAGTAAGTGACATGTGGAAAGTGCTATTTAAGTGTTTGTTAATACAAGGAATCTAAATTTGCTATGTTGCTGTTAGGTGCAATCGAGCTGGTTCTGACTCATAGCAACCCTATGTACAACAAAACAAAACACTGCCCAGTCCTGTGCCATCCTCACAATCGTTGCTATGTTTTTGTTGCTATGTTTGAGCCCACTGTTGCAGTCACTGTGTCAATCCATCTCGCTGAGAGTCTTCCTCTTTTCCACTACCCTCTACTTTACCAAGATGATGTCCTTCTCCAGGGACTGGTCCCTCCTGGTAACATGTCCAAAGTATGTGAAACAAAATCTTGCCATCCTCCCTTCTAAGGAGCATTCTGGCTGTACTTCTTCCAAGACCGATTTGTTCATTCTTCTGGCAGTCTACAGTATATTCAACATTCTTCACCAACTCTATAATCCAAAGGCATCAATTCTTCTTTGGTCTTCCTTATTCATTGGCTACCTTTCACATGCATATGAAGCAACTGAAAATACCAAGGCTTGGGTCATGCACACCTTAGTCCTCAAGGTAACATCCTTGCTTTTTAGCACATTAAGGAGGTCTTTTGCAGCAGATTTGTCCAATGAGTTCTTGAATGCTGCTTCCACGGGCACTGATTGTGGATCCAAGTAAAATGAAATCCTTGACAACTTCAATCTTTTCTCCTTTTATCACGATGTTGCTTACTGGTCCAGTTGTGAGGATTTTTGTTTTCTTTATCTTGACGTGTAAGCCAAACTGAAGGCTGTGGTCTTTGATCTTTATCAGTAAGTGCTTCAAGTCCTCTTCATTTTCGACAAGCAAGGCTGTGTCATCTGCTTATTGCAGGTTGTTAATGAGTCTTCCTCCAATCCTGATGTCGTGTTCTTCTTCATATAGTCCAGCTTCTCGGATTGTATGTTCAGCATACAGATTTAATAAGTATGGTGAAAGGATACAACCCTGACACACACCTTTCCTGATTTTAAACCACACATATCTTCTTGTTCTGTTCAAACGACTGCTTCTTGTTCTACGTGCAGGTTCCAAACAGCAGAATTAAATGTTCTGGAATTCCCATTCTTTGCAATGATACCCATAATTTGTTATGATCCACAAAGTCAAATGTCTTTGCATAGTCAATAAGACACGGGTAAACATTTTGCTGGTATTCTCTGCTTTCGGGCAAGATCCATCTGACATCAGCAACGATGTGGTACAAATTTGCTATAATGCTGAATTAACAAGTAGGCTTTACTCAATGCAATTCACAGCTTCAAATACTCCTCTAGAAGAACAATGAAGATTTAAAAAAAAAAAAAAAACTTTCCCCCACTTTTAATACAATAAGCAGTAAGCTGGTTTGTATATAAATCAAACATACTTTTAAATGCCTCTGAGGAACCAGTTATGTAACTCAAACCCCTGAGAGAAATTAGGGTACTATGGCATGGCAAAACCAAAATGAATATGACAGATCATGAATTACCCACATTAGAGCACTTACTTCCCTTCCTCCCACCCACCAAATAAACAAACCAAAAATCACGACTGTTCACTCTAACACACTTGCCTACATTTTTTAAAAGCAATTCTGATGCCCAGGAGAGTTCCTGGATTACATCTTAGTGACATCCTTTAGTAATCCTAGACTCGGTGCTGTCCCAGCCATAAACGCATAATTCGAGAGGTTCAGGGATTAGTTCACAAGCTCTCCTGACACCGGATTTGGTGCAACTGCGGAATCCATGCGACAGATGACAATGCCAATCGCCAACACCTCCACCAGCAACACTCTCAGACCCCGTCACTTATCCTCTAAATAAACTCGGACCTGCCGTCCCCTTCTCACCCACCCACTTTCAAGTTTCTTTAAACCCGGAGCTGCGTCGGCGGCGGC